AACTCTCCTTTGGGTCTCCATGTGTAGGAATGTGTGTGTTTGGATACTGGAAGTGTGAAAGACTTTCACTGTGCTTCCCAAATATACTTGGGATTTATTCCCTTTCTTAATGCTGTATAGGGAAGGAGCAGATGGAAATAGAAACTTGTAACACTAGCAAGCCAAAGAATTTCTTGCTTGGCAAGTGATGAGCTATTGGATCTTTGTATTGGGTCTTTAATTGGAACAAGATGGTTTGTAATGCCTGCAGCAGCGTGGGGCTCCCATAGCCTGTAACAGATCTCACAAGAGAGCTGCAAATACACCCATGTAGCTTCATCAGGAGGCACAGGATTGAGGAGTCATCTTAATCAGGACACCTCCCAGGAAATCGATGTGACAGGGTTGCCATAAGGATCAGGACAAAGCCCCAAACTTGTTGAATGGCAGCAAAAGTGATGGGAATGCCAGATGTGAAACGGGAGGGAATTTCCCATCAGGTTGCCAAGTAAGGATTAGAAGCGGGGACTAACTGGTATTCTGTGTTCAGTAAAATCTGCACATTTAAGTGACTAAATACTACTGGTCTGACTTCATCCAGGCCACAGGCAGCTCAGTGAAGTGCAGAAGCCAAAGGGAAGTCAGGCAATGCTGGAGCACCTTTGTGAGCAGGCTGTGACAGCAATCAGCTGAGAGCTTCTACCAGATACATTCTATAAAAGGTTTGTATCAAAGGTGTTGCTGGATGATGCATTCTGTGAGGATACAGATACTGAGAGTTCCGGAAAAGTATCTTCTATCTGAGCTGGATTTTAGGGAAGAGCTTTGAGGATTTCATGGGCCAGAAGCCTTGGAGAAGTTAGCCTGCTTGCAGTTTAGAAGGTGATACTTGGCATGCTTAGAGGGTGATATTTTGATTTGCAAAAATATCAGCATTTCCTGTTCTTTTTTTTCTGCAGCTTCTGAGACATATTTAAATGCTCTTCTGCTCAGGAGAGTGTTCTGTAGCAGTAGATAACTGTATAATAACCAAGAGCCTGGTTTTGAAACCCAGTTACTTGGCTTTTTAAGCCTTTTTGATACTAAACTGTTGTTCTTACTTGTCAGGTTGTTGTGTTTGTGTCTATTGACACACTGGCTTCACATCTGCAAGAACACAAAAACTTTTCTAGCCCTTTTTGACTGGATTTCTAGACCTGCATCATGTTCTATATACCAAGTCATGTCTAGAGCACATCAATCACCAGTGTACGTGTCGTGTGACGGTAAGGGGACACCCCCAATGGCACAGGATGGGATTTGCTTTCTCATTTTTCCATTGCATATTTGTTTTCAGTCCTCTCAGCCTGTGCACCCGTCCCCAAGTCCTTGCAACTTGGTCTTTCCACCAGTCTGATGGGTGACTTGCCATGTTTGAGACCCGGGGTTATCCTGAAACGTTTTCCCTCAAATGAGAATGGAGTCTTGAGATAAGCTGGAAAATCATACGGGCAGCAGAAATTCATGGAGTCAGCCAAACTATGCCTCAAATCTTACGATTTTGTGTCCGTTACATTGGTGGGGGGACTCCACTCTTCTGGAATATTATCTCAAATGCATGTGTCTCACCTCAAGCTTCCCCCTTTTTTTTTTTTTTTAATCCCTTAAGGATGTGCTGATAGCTCAGGGAGGAAATTGCTATCATTTTTCATAATAGCTCATGGAAAGCTACCTGTACCTTTGACTGCATCTCCCATCAGTGGCCACCCTCTGAGCTGGGAGACAGAACACTATCAACCATTCCTTCTCATTCAGAAGTCCTGAAAGTTTAGGAGTTTTGTTGCTTATCATCTCTTTGCTGTATTACTTTTGGAATGACTAGTTCACGATAGTTGGGGTACCTCAAGTTCAAATGGCCCATAGGAAAATGAGTGTGAGTAGCTATGTGCAGAGATAGTACCTGTACTTTGAAGCATCTTCTGGAATGTTGGTATCCTGATGTTTGGTTCATTGCTGATGTGATTATTTTCTTCTTGACAGTCCATCAGATTTAAGTGTATGTGACAGTTCCCAAGAACCACCTTGAAAACCCACACCCTCAACTGATGTCCTTTTCCTGCTTGCTAAGCACAATATTTGCTTGACAAACATGTAAATGCAGAAGACAGCTATCACTTTCCAGTTGTGTATTACTAACAGTGAGGCTTGCAGTCTGTGCACACATTTAAAGATGTCTTGGTATCCCTCACATGAAATAGGGTGTCCAGGTAACAGTTGGTTTGGGTGACTTGATTTTTCCATTCAATAAATCTACCATTTTATTTGGAGGGGGAATTTGAGTTTTTCTGCATCACTTGTAAAACCATCTAGACTTTTGCTTTATCTCTTTGAGAAACTAAATTCAGGCCTGTTTGTGGTTGACGTTTCACACCCTGTCCAGAAAACTACTTTTGATCCCTTTGTGGGAAGAAACAGGCTGAGCAAGGTGGTGCTTGTGACTTTGCTGCTTGAGAATCCCATTGCTTTGAAGTCAACAGGAGATAATCCTCCTGCCCCTTTGGTTCCCTTAGCCATTTGAGCAAATGATCCACACAGGTGGAATGTGGAGGGACTCAACAAGCTCCTGTTTGGGTCATTGCTGGAAGTTTCTGCTGGGTGATAGCTTTGTGCATGCATTAGGAATTGTGCTGTGTTACGTTCTGCTCGAGAGCAGCAACACTCGAGTGGTTTATACTGAGATCTAAACAAAGGATATGCTTTTTAGGACGTGGGGAATTTGAAGTCAGAGTTGGGAGCACTGTGTTTTCATGTATGTGCCATGCAGGTCACACAGTTTAAAAACAAATAAACCCCAGGCCCGGGTCAGCCACAGTGCATGCTTGGATGTGTGTTAGTATTCCCAGGGAAAGCATCTTTGTACCCCCAACTGATTTCCCTGAGGATGGATCTGTAATTGGTTATTTTAGGACTCACTTCAAAACGCTGGCATTTTTTAAAGGGCTTCAGGCTGTGCTTGCTAGGAAAAACATTTGGGATTGAACTGGTGAAAACTCATTTTTCCTCTCACTTTCTGCACTTGAGGGAGGAGGAGCCCCTAAAATAGGCCCCAAAAAGGCTGGGCTGTAGTTTGCATGTTCTCATTGGCTATTAGCCCCCCCCCCCCCCCATCCTGACATTCCACGAGAAAGCTTCATTCATCTCATTTAGCTTGGTTTTGGCATGTAATATCTTCGGGGATTTTTGTCTTGGAGAAACCATTGTTGCTATTACACTCATCTGCCTCTGCTGGTGCTGACACCCAAGGACTGGTGCCCTGTTTTTCAGAATGACTGCTCAGTGTCACAGGAGAAGTTGTAGACATTGCAGGAACAGATTGAGGTACCTTTAGCTGTTACAAGCACTGTGGTTTGAAGATGGCCAGCTAGGGAAATACCTTCAGGAGCATCTCCTGTAGAAATGCTGTCTAGGGATGTCCTGCCATCAGACTGAAAGAGAAGTCTCTTCATTGTGCCATAGGTGTGTGCACCTGATGCGACACTGCACCCTCCTGCAGCAGCAGTGGATTTAGTTTATAGTTGATGAGTTTGGGGAGGAGATCTTGTAGGTACAATTGATGTAACCTGGGGCAGCTCTGCTCTGGAGCCAGGCTGAGAGAGCTGGGCTGGGTCAGCCTGGAGAAGAGAAGGCTCCTTAAGGGGAGACCTTAGAGCAGCTCCAGTGCCTAAAGGGACTCCAGGAAACCTGGAGAGGGGCTTTGGACAGGGGCCTGTAGGAATAGGACAAGAGGATTTCTGAATGGAAGCTACTCACAGCTTGCAGGTTTAACGAAAGTGCTCTGCACAGATGAGCTGGGGTTTGGTTTGCTCAGAAAGTAACTGGGGTAAAGAGAATCCCTCTGATGGGTTGGAAGCCCCACTGCTGAGTAAGAGAGGACTGTGTTTTGGGGCAGGAATTTAAAGTAATTGAGATGGTATTGATGTGGTACAGAGCATCTACCCCTGCAGGGGAGAATGCAGTGTGAAGTGCTGAAACTGGTGAAAATCATCTTGAAAACAGTGCCAGGAATGATGTCAGGTCTCATTTAAGAGGAAGACCCACTAGGGAAATAAATACCTGTTAAAAGTCAAAATTTATGGTAAGTGCCTTCCTTCTCATGTGAGCCAAAGAAAACATCCAGAATAGGTAGAAATCGGGAACATCTGGTTTCTCTGTAAGGAAGGAGCATGGAGCTTGATCTTTGGATGGAACAGGAGAGAACAGGTCCAGCCCTGGTTTGCCAGAGGTGAGGTTTTGCTTCTGAGGTTTTTAAAGGGGGTGCTGAGAACCCCTCCTTACGGGAGGCTGATGCAGGCCCATGGGCAACAGGTAAGAAAGGCTGTAGAAGTATAATGGTAGTAAGGGGTGAGCCTTGATGAGGGTTAGACTAAGCTTAACCCATTCCATACCCATGACAGTGCATACGTTTGGAGGAAGGTTTCGTAAAGCTTAAGTTTTTCTGTAGAAGGTCTTAGGCTGCTGGTTTGATGGTTGTTTTCTTCAAGGACTCCTCCATTTTTCTAAACTGCGTGGGTTCAGCTTGGGAGGTGCATGGTTTGGGTCCCCAGTGTGTGTATTTTCTGTCTAACAGATGTAATGGTTTAATTCCTTAGGCTGATAGAAGCTGGATCAAGGAGTCAGCTCCTGCTTTTACCCACAGTCTATGACTAGTTCCCTCCATGCCTCACTTCAGGCCCAGTGCAATGTCTGCTTTTCGTTAATGCTTTCTGTTCATTTAAAGAGCCTTTTTATTCTTTCAGATCTGTTTTTATGGAGCAGGCTGCAAGTCTGGCTTTACACCTTTACCATTTCTGCTACATCCATAGCTCTCAAGTCTGCATACATGTTTTAGCCTCTTTGTTGAATGCAAGTGTTGATTGTCAGTTGTGTTAGTCATAAGCTGTAAGTCATTTACCCTTCTTTTCTTTTTAATCTTTACTTTGTTAGATACATGGACGTAGATGGTTTTGTTTTGTTAATTTTCACACCACATCTTTTCTGTACTTCAGGTTGACTCCTCACTGCACTGTGAAAACCATTAGGAAAAGGTCCTTGGGGTTAAAACCTGGGGCTCCACAGTGTTACCTGCACTTGGGGCTAGAAATTAATTTAAATGGCGACTGATCTGTCTGAAGCTGAACCCGTGCATCATAAGGCGCTTCCACTCTTAACGGGAGCTCAGCTCATCCACACGGACAAGTTAAGTGAGGTAGGGGCTGGCCCGTTCTCCAAGCTTGCCCTTGGATCAGTCC